ATATACATATATATCTAGGAATTTCTCTGGAGTTGTTGCGGTCAGTGTAGGCTCAGTTCAATTTCAGATAGCTCCTCTTTCCAGCTTACACTTCTCGATATCTTTAGGCCCCTTCCGGTGTAGTCGGTGTTACCTTCAGGGATTTTAATCTGTTGCACCGGTCCTTTCTGAAGCGGTTCCCTTTGTTTATTTGGCTTCTGTTTGCCGTCTCTTCGGTGTCTAATTTCCACCGTGACACAGGCGGGTGGAGGTGATCTCTTATTTAGGTTCTCTAGTTCAGTTCAGTCCTGCCACGGGAAGGGTGGGGTGCTGCAGACAGATACCGCTCTGTGTGGATAGCACTCACCGTATTCCAGCCACATTGGGTTTGCCCCGCTCACGGGTGTCAGTGCTTTCGCCGTCTACACTGCTCAGGCTCCCGGCTGCTCTGTGGAGTGGGCCCTGCGTTGAGTGTGGTTCCAGTTTTCGGGTATTCCACAAAAGCGCAGATTCGGTTGCGCCTGCGTTTTGTGCTTTCCCAGGCCTGAGCGGTTCAGACAGCCAGAGGCTTGGGCGTACTCTCCCGGGGTGCAGCACGCCTTTTTCCTCTGCGGCGAGCGGCCTAGGCAGCCAGAGGCTTGGGCGCACTCTCCCCGGATGGGGCACGCCTTTTCCCTCCGCGTCGAGAGGCCCAGGCAGCCAGAGGCTTGGGCGCAATCTCCCCGGGTACGACGTGCTTTTTCCCTCCACTGCCCCAGCGCGCGCTGCCAGTAGGGTCTCAGGAAGTCTTTAGATAGGAACCGGGGGCCTGTTTGCAGTGTGGGAGGGGGTGGCTTCTCAGGGGCTGAGTTTGCCCTTTTCCCCTCCCCCCTGCCTCCTACCTCCAGCAAGGATGGGCCGGCTCTTCTCTGGAGTTTCTCGGTCCCTTTGTTTTGCGCACCGCCAGCAGTGTGTTCGGGCCAGTTAATTTTGACCCTTCCCACAGTTTAAAAAAGCTCCCTCCGATTGCTCTCAGGGTCTTCGGGCCAGTCCTTACCCTAAGCAATGCCGCCCGCTCCTCTCTGTTCCGCCCCTGCTTGTTGCTGGCGGGTACGGGCATCTGGGGTACTTTTCTGCTGGGAGTTGCTTTTAGGCACGTAATCTGTGGGCCTTGTTTAATTTTTCCTCCCAGTTAGAATGCCGAAAACTTCCCCCAGTCCCGCCAGTGCGAGGGTTTCCTGGTGATCGGAAACTTCCTCTATTAAGACTCCCTTCCGGGGATGGGTCTCCTTCCGGGGATGGGTCTCCGTCCATAGCTCTTTTGACTCCCTTTTTATCTTTTATATTTTGTCCTACCTCCCTTCGAAGACAATGGGCTGCTTTTCTGGGCGCCTGATGTCCTCTGCTAGCGATCAGAAGTTGTTTTGTGAAATTTGCTCAGCGTTCAAATGGTCTTTCGATGAATTTGTAGGAGAGAAAGTGGTCTCCCGGTCCTATTCCTCCGCCATCTTGGCTCCTCCCTCCATAGTGATGCTTTCTAAGGCCCACCTACTTCACATTCCAGGATGTCTGGCTCTAGGTGAGTGATCACACCATTGTGATTATCTGGGTCATGAAGATCTTAGGCTAGGCTAAAGAGGTTTTGATCCATCTATCTATCATACTTTGAGAAGAGCTGCTACAAGCAAATATTATATGTACCTGTGATGACAGGAAAATATTGTAGTGTGGGCATTTAAGTAATATAAAGTAGAATTATCCAATTTAGACTTAAAACTTAAGGTCTACACAACAAGATTTGTAATTATGGTAATTCTGGGTGGGAATATTGCCACTAATAGTTACTTTAGGTATAAAGAACATTGCTGATGTATAGGATATGGCTGCTATTCATACAAATTTTATTAAATATTATTTTTAATTTTCTATATCTTAAAATTTAGTACTATTGTATTACACCAATATACATAAATGTTTATATTCCCAACTAACTTTAATCTTTTCAAATTCAAAAAGTAAGATCTTAAAGTACAGAGACTTAGTTATATATTTAATTTATATGTAATACTAATAAGTAAATAGCTTTTGCTGTTTAATAATGCTAAATGATTGCTACTTGAAATTGCATGGCCAAAAAGCCCTTCATTGTTAAAATTAATGTATATAATACTCATCTGAATATTAATAAAAATCTTTAAATAATTAAGAGTTACTATTATAATAATATTGACATCATATACATACCCATTGAATAATAAATCTGTTATCAAGGAACATTGTTGTTAATGTTAGTTAAGATAATTATGTAAAACTTAACAATATACAAACATTAAAGGATATCTGTATTTCTTGTTGCTCTTTCTTACATTTTTTTTTCATAACCCCCCAAGTAAAAATGCATACCTGTTTCTACAAGTCTTGTATTCTACTTTAAGAATTGGTTTGCAAGATTCAGGTTTTCTTCCTTCTCTTTGACTTTTTCCTAAAGAAAGAAAAGGATTTTATTAAATATGAATTAAATCCTACTTATCCATAAGAATTTTTAAAGGAATATTTTTTCAAAATAATTGTGTATTTTTCATAATCAGACACATTTCTATGCATTCTAACATTCTTGTTAAATTTATAAATGGTTTACTGAGCCCTAACAATTGACTATTATATAATCAATATAGTTATTTGTAAACATATTTTTATTGCTTCACATTCTTCATGTATAAATCTAGCATCATATAAAGTTATTTTAATTACATAAGTTTCATGATAAACAACTGCAGGATTGAAGACACACACATATATACTTATCTGCATAATGAAATGTATTATGAAAATCCATACTAGGCTTTAAAAATTTCACCTATGAAACAAGAAAACCCTTTCATATGCAGAAAGACTTGTCACTTAAAACTTATGATACACTATGAAAATCATTGCATTTTCATCAAATTCATTTAAAAGAAAGTCCATTAACAGTGAACACAGGTGATATATTTCAAGATTTTTTAAAATTTTAATGATGAACTCTATTTACATAAAACAAAAATAATAGTTTCTTATAAGGGAAAGATTAAGTTCAGATTCCAAAAGAGTTTGAATAAAACATCAAGAAGAGTTGAAAATGGAAATAAGTATGTCATAGGCAGAAGTAAGCTTTATCTTTATAGTTATAATTTTGCTTATTAATCTGTTTTTTAAGATGACACCTTTTATTTTAATAAACATTCTTATATTGCTAGAGCTATTTGTAGACAAAGAAAACCATCATGTAGAGAGATGTTTACATGCATATAAGTTAAAATTTCATCACAGTTTCATAATGGCAGACAAATCCAACTCAGAAGTCAGGACAGTTTTATCCAATTTGTTTCATGGCTCTCAGCATACAGTATACCTTATCTGCTCCATGGCATGCTTTTTTGAAATTTCCTTCTTTTTGTTTTACCCTATGTCAACTGAAGGAGCAACCCAATAATAAATATTGACCACTATCATTTATATTGTAAAACAGGATTAAAAGTATCTATATTATATATGAAAAAGAATTGTTAACACTAAATATAGATCATTACAAAGGGACAACTTTGGCTCAGGGACTCATTCTGTACAGTGGTCATACAGCTAGTCAGGGATTACTAAGTTTTGATAATAAAAGGAATTAGAGAATTAAAGGAAGTAACAGACTTAGCAAAGAAGCCCATTCTTCTCAGTTGATATTTTTTCTACCCAGTGCTTCTCTAGTAATTGCCAAACTGTTAGTTGACCAAACAGCGTATTTGCAGTTGTGTATATGTATATATATGGAGCCAATTACTATTTTTCAATCAGCAAACATCAGTACCATGCACTGATTTTAGTAGAAAAGAATCATTATTTAACTAATGTTTTACTTCAATTTCCAACTCTGATTTATTAGAAGGTGAATGCTTTCTGCTTTGATTATATTTATTGCCTGTTAATAACTGAAATATGCTTAAATGTCATATTGTATAAAACAACATTGTCAATAACTATATTTATTGTTATTCCTTATTTTCACAGTATTGTAGTAAGTGGGAGGGTACAAAGAAATACCTACTAAGAAGTTTAAAATTTACTAAACAAAAAAATCTTGAAAATAACGATATGAAGTACCATAAATGATAGACATGAAGTACTTTAGGAGTGGAGAATAAAACTGTGGTTTCCTTTTATAACAGAAGACTTTGTAGAATTTTACAGAAGACTTCCTAGTTATTAGACTAAGAACTTAGCTATTAGACATAAGTTGGCTAGGAGAGCATCAGAAATGACATGAAGGCAGAATGTTAAGAGAATATGATGATGTATGATGAGAGAGTATGATTAGAGAATAATGCATAAGCCAAACTGGGTAGATTAAAAGATTAATGTAGAAGAAGAGAGGAAAGAACGCTGATGAGGTACAAAAGAGCCATATAATGGCAATCTATGAGACTGACTTGCCGTGTAGACAAGGGAGAGCCACTGGAAGCTTCCAAGTTGAGAAATAATATGTGTAAAGCAAGGTCTCTTAAATATTAATATGGGTTTATTTAATAAAGAAATTTTGAGGATGTAAGATACTGATGATGGAAAACAAGAAGATAATTACGAATGTTTAGGAAAAACAGGGAGAAAAAAACTGAAGAGAAGTAAAAAATCTCAAAAAAAGGTAGGATACTATTAATCACACCAACATATGCATTATGGGACTACTAGAAGGAGAGGAGAGAAAGGAGAAAACATTCACAGAAATATTGGCTGAAATTTTTTCTAAATTATTTGAAAGACATTACACATCTAAGAACCTCAAAAAACTCCATGTAGGATTAAAAAAATCAATCTACTCCCAGACACATCAAGGTAAAAATGCTAAAAGAAAAAAAAAATCTCGAAAGGAGCAAGAGAAAAATGACTCTTTGTATATAAGGGAGCCCCAATAAGGTTAAGAGCTGAGACTCTCTTCAGAAACAATAAGTCAAAATGCAAAGGAATGACATACTTAGTTTACTGGGAAAAGAAACCCTGTTAACCAAGACTCTTATGTTCATCAAAATTATCTTTCAAAAATGAAGGTGAAATAAACATGTTTCCAGATATCAAAAACTGAGAGAATGTGTTGCAAGCAGAGCTCCCTTACAAAAAATACACAGAAGTTCTTTAGGCTGAAAGAGTAATATGTACCTATATACAAAGATTATAAGTAAAAGTAATTAATGTAGGTAATTATAAAAGACAGTATAATTGCACTATTCCTCTCCAACCTTAACTGATTTAAGAAGCGATGTAAAAATTAATATGTATATAATTGTAATATGGGATGCTTATTTGAAAATAATAACACAGAGAAGGTTGATGGGAGCAAGGCTACAATGGAGGGAGAAAAGGACATCAAATGGTAACATGAATCCACAAGAACAAAGGAAGAGAACCATAAATAAGCAGCAAAAAGGCTAACGTAACAAGTTCTATACATACACGTGTGTGTGTGTGTGTGTGTGTGTGTGTGTATGGTAGTCACTCGATCAATCGTGTCTGACTCTGTGACCCCATGGACTGTAGCTTGCCAGGCTCCCCTGTTCATGGATAAGAGAACCATAAATAAGCAGCAAAAAGGCTAACGTAACAAGTTCTATACATACACGTGTGTGTGTGTGTGTGTGTGTGTATGGTAGTCACTCGATCAATCGTGTCTGACTCTGTGACCCCATGGACTGTAGCTTGCCAGGCTCCCCTGTTCATGGATTTCCCCAGGAAAGAATAGTAGAGTGGGTTGCCATTCCCTTCTCCAGGGGATCTTTCCAACCCAGGAATTGAACCTGGGTCTCCCACCTTGCAGGCAGATTCTTCACCATCTGAGCCACTAGGGAAGCCCCTATACATACATACCCTTGACTAAATAAATGGTTCAAAGAAAAAAATATTTTTAGAATAATATATGCTACAACACACTAAAACTTCTCAGATGAAACCTAAGCAGTAGAGAGAGGGAAATTTATACCTATGAGCAGCTATATTAGAAAAGAATATATGAAATCACTAACCTAACCATTCACCTAAGTCACAGAATAAAAGAACAACATAAACCTGAAGCAAACAGAAAGAAGGAAATAATAAAGATTTGAGCAGAAATTAATGAAGTATTGGGCTTCCATTGTGGCTCAACTGGTAAAGAATCTGCCTGCAATGTGGGAGACCTGTCGATCCCTAGGTTGGGAGGATCCCCTGGAGAAGGGAAAGGCTAACCACTCCAGTATTCTGGTCTGGAGAATTTCTTGGACTGTATAGTCCATGGGGTCACAAAGAGTCAGACATGACTGAGTGACTTTAACTTCACTTTAATGAAGTATTAATAGAATAGGAAAAAATATATCAATAGAAAATCAATACACTGAAATCTGGTTCTCTGAAAAGATCAATAAAATAGCTGAACTGACCAGAAAAGACAGAGACAGAGATAAATGATTTAAATTCTTCCACCAATTCTTCAAACATTCTCTTAAAAACAAAAGAGGAAATATTTGCCAACTAATTCTATAAAACTATTAGTACCATCCATTGTATGAGATCAAACATCCTAATATGAGGCTAAGATGGAGATAGAACAATGAAGAAGTGAGGTTTTTCTAAATAATGGGAATATGGTTACCATGAGAAAAACCAGTTACTGTAATATACCATATCAATAGAATAAAGAACAAAAATTACACAATTATCTCAACAGACTAAAAAGGCATCTGATGAAGTCCGACACTCTTTTGATTAAACAAAACTTCAACAGAGGAAAAAAAAGATTTCCTCAGCCTGATAAAGACCATGAATAGAAACCCAGAGCTTACCATCACATTTACTGGTGAAAGAAGAAAAACTATCCCTCTTTGATCAAAAACAACTGAAGAGAGATCAAGATGGTGGAATAGAATCATGTGGAGCTCATATCCTCCCACAGATACATTAAAAATACATCTACATGTGGAACAATTCCCATAGATTCCTACTGAATACTGGTGGAAGATCTCATGTGATCAAAACTGCAGGAAAGATCATCATGTAAGGTAGGACAAAGGGGGGGGGGAGCAATCAGGACAGAATCTGCACCCCTGGGAGGGATCTGTAAAAGAAGAAAGGTTCCTTCACCCTTGGAACCCCCTTCAACGGCTGGGAGATCAGCAGTGAAAAACAGGGAGCTTCAGAGGCTCAGAGGAGACTGCAGTAGCTGGCTGTGGTAGGCAGAACAAACAGAGATCAGCACAGATGGTCCTGGCTACCTCACTTGCAGTCTCCAGACCGAGATGCATGTCTGTGGTGCTCACTGGGGGCTGGGTGCTAAAACTTGGGCATCAGTGGATAGACCCAGGGAGAGACCTGAGGTTAGCTATGCAGAGGCAGCCTGAAGGGGCTATAGTGCGCCCTAGACTGTAACTGGGGGTACACCAGATGGAGCCTGATTTTGCAACTGAAGCCCTGTTGTTAATATGCAAGAAT